AAGGGGAAAAAGGGAGGGATACATTAAGTACTACTTTTCTTAGAAAAGCGCAGCACCGATCGTTGTTCTTTCTTTGCAATCTGGAAGCCAACGAAGAAGGTAGTTGTACTGACGCTATGTTTAAAACTTAAAGTTTAAATATTTTTACATAATTAAAATGCTTTTAACCCACCCTCCCACCTCAGATATTTTTTTTGCTGTCCGTATTTTGTTGTATAATTTCAGATAGAGTTTAGCAGACGATCGTCATAGCGAGTATAAAGGCAGACAAGGAGACCAGTCCAGCACGTGTGCAATGATATATAATGCAAATGGACTACGAGAAGATACTTAAAATTCTTTAAAAGTGTTCAAAGACTCTAATTTTGCTACAGTCACCTGGGCAAATAGCTTTTTAAGTCTGCCGCGTTTTTCAAGTTGTTGCTATCAGTGTAACTTGTTGCATTTTTATAGCATGAATTTCAGATTTTTGCTGCCGTAATCGGAGCGAAAACGCAAAATATACTACATAAAGATAATAAATTATTCAATTAGCATTTCAAATTTTCATCTTTGAATATGATACTCAGCTATGACAATGTTTACGCCAAAAACTTAATAAAATAAATTTAGTAAAACTTTAATCGGTGTTGAGTCTTTGTCGATGGGTAATATGTAAATATAACTGGTTTTATATAGATAATCACCAACTTATGTCATATTTGTGCCGATTTGGAGCGAAAAGTTTGCAACACTTTTCAATTTTGGTCAAATTGCGCTATAAAATTGTTCATCCCTGGGAAGCGGAGTGATCGAATGATATGAAGTGTTGTACACCAGTTACTGATCCAGACCTGCATCAAGTTATACAAAAGTCTTTAGGTGGGAAGTTAGTATAAAACCGGTTTAAACTCCCCAGTGGTTTAACTGCCACTGACCGTTCCAAGGCGTACATCCTTTGTGTTCCTTCACGTGTTTTTCTTGTCTGTATTGTTACTTGTTTTTGGATGTTTACATGTTTCGTGATGTCTGTCTTGTTGGATTGTCGTTGGTATTTTCTCCCCCCCCCCCTTCCATTTTAAATCCCCCCCCACCTTTTCACCCGTACAGCCCTTTTCCCTTTAATTCCCTTATGGGACTGTTTTTGTTTATGTTATTTCACATTACATGTCCCGCCCGCTCCTTTCTTCCTTGTGTCCACTCAAGGTACTTGTTTGGTGCCTTCTGGGTGTCCTGCTTGGGTGTGTCCGGGGGCGGCGTCCTGTGAACGTTGCCTTTGCCTTGTTGATCTTTATTCTTGTTATTTTGAAAAAGATAAAAAAAATCTCAATGGAGTCCATTTAAATATTTTAGCAATTTAGCCTAAAGGGGAAAGAGCTATCCTCACTCCTGTACATTTTATTTCAGAACTAGCCTTTACATTTTATTTTAGAATGGCCAATGTGATTTCCATTTTAAAATGACCAATGAGAACTTTCCTTATATTCAGTCCTTCACTGTAAATTTTACAGGAAGTCAAACTGATGGACTTCGTCAGAAAAAGACCTTTCAACCTTAGCTGAAAACGAGAGATATCAAAACCAGCACCAGGATAAGCTCAATAATGTTCCAAATATTTTCGACAGCCTTGGTAGCGGAATCCGTTATGTTATGAATCACAATTCCTTTTCATTACAAAAATAAATGTGTCAAAGCAGGTGCAATAAATACCTTTTGTAAAATTGTAAAAAGGAATCGTAACTGTTTCTTTTTGTATTTTTTGATAGAATTGAACATTTGGGATTATAAATGTTCTGTGCATCTTCGTGTGTGTTCTTTTATTTCCAATGTCAGTGCAGGACTGGGTAAAATCAATATAAAATTGTGCAGATTTTAGACATTTTTTAGACTTATTTTCTTTCATTAAAATCGATCGGACATTTCTAAACATGATAGTTTGCATACACATAGCATTTACCCTTGTGAAGAATTATTAAAAATTGGACAACAATTGTATCGAATAACAGACACCTTTACACAACTTAACCTTCAATGGCATGTAAAATAAATGAATCAAACATCGCTCAGCATAAAAAGCGTAAGGGTAAACAAGGTGGACGATTCAGGTGTTTTTTTATTGACCTAGAGGGACAAACTTTAATAATTGGCATATCCAAAACAATATCAAATTGACACATCTGATTTGAATCAAAATGATTACACATTCATAGCGTTAAATAGACAAAACTTAACAGGTGGTGGGGTCAGTCTAGTCTATCGGTTCGGGGAAAATGTCAGAAATTCTTTCGAACATGCGTTATGACAGGTCATAAATCTAAGAGCGTTTCAATGACCGTCACTTAGACTTGAACATTATGCTAATTTCAGCACATTAAAGTAGAAAATGTTCTCGATCTTGTAATCTCTGAAGTAATAAATGGTGTTGAATACGTTCATGTGAACAATGTCAATTCATCTCAGACCATTGTGTTGTAAAAATTGTAACACAAATTCAAAAATAATGTAAATATTAGTCGATGTCTTTTTATTTTAAAGACATGAATAATGATGAATTTGCTGAGGACCTGCAGAATATTTCTATTGATGAAACTGATATAGACACGTTCGTTGATCAGTCTTTAGTTGAAACCAAGAAAGTATTACACAAGCACGGCCCGGTCAAAGAGAAAATTCGTATATGCCGCATTTCAAAACGTTTGTTAAAGGAAAACATCTAGGAAATGAAAAGAAAAATTCGAAAAGTTAAAATATTGTAGTAACGCTAGAAACAACCTGAGCACTATCAATTGTTTAACAAATGAACGAAATAAGTACCACTTTAAATCATGAAAGGAAAAATAACACACATTTAGTCAAAAGTGTTCTTGGTTTTACAAGAGACCCGAAATGTTAGTTTCAGAGATAATTGGATAAAAAAAACACAGAGAACCCAATGCCTAGCGGTGAAAGGAACACAACCATTGACTATTTTTATGGATAAAATGCGATATTCGCTTATAACATACGACCATTTCAAACCAAAAACAAAAATGGAAAATCTTTGAAATTATTCAACATCTAACTGACGATGAAATACGAAAGCAATTGCAATAAAAACCATGTGGGATCTTGAAAATGTTCCTGAATGAACTATTACATTTAATAACCAACTTTTTAATCGTTCATCAGTCGTTCCTTATACATGGAAGCAAGCTGTTGTTAAGAATGTTGGTCTGGAACTGGTATACTCAAGCAATCGACCAGATAGCAAACAACGACTTTACGTACAGACGATCACTATATTTTAACAGACGTACTAAACAAACCATCTATGTTAAAATTCAACAGTTTTTTCAAATTAAAAAAAAATATTTTACAAAACTTAACGTATATATTGATAAAATTATTTAACATCACAACAAATTTTACAGGTTTTTGTATATCAGCTGGATTGTATTGATGAATGAACATATTCACATGTACGTAGCTTGGATTTGAGAACAAAGTTAAAAATGTGATTCCATTTTACAAAACATTGACAGAACTCTAATAAATATGTTAAGTATTAAACCAATGTTGGTAAAGCATCGCACTGATAGTAGTTTATTACAGTTATGATTGCGGGTGTTCTTTTTAACCCTTATATTGCGTTTCATTTATAGTGAGCGATTACTAACAACTTCTAAAATGTTTGTAGGAATTATCTACCTCAAACATGAAAATTATACTTTGCACTTATTTTGACAACATTATAAAAACATATGTTAATAAGTTATCTGATACATATTTAATATTTGTAAAACCACGCATTGATACATTGATTATATTAAATAAAATTAGGTATTGACAACATTTTCCAAACACACTAAACTAAAAATTGGAATGTTGACTAAATATGTGGCTATTATAGAAAACAAATATATGTCGGTATCTTTTCATTTGCCATGATCAAGTCGTACATGTACTCTAAGGTACAGACGAAACATGAAACAGACATAAATCTACGGCAAAAATAACAACAAATCATTGCCATGGTAGCTTGTAATGGATTTATTAACAGTGTCTTCAGTTATAAACGTGGTGTCACATAACTAGTAAAACGATACATAAATGACACATTTTAAAAAATAATTATTTCAAAAACGTTATGTTTTCCAATCCTAATTAACATCCAATAAATGGAAACAGTGAAAGTGTTCCGAATTTGTATAGAAATAGATTTTAGTTGATAAAAATTGTGAATTTGTATATCGAATATAATTTTAGTAGACTTGATAAGTTGATATGTTTGTAAATGCCTTAGTTTGAGTGATACAAAAGCTAGTTTCGAGTACAGTGCTTTTTGTTGTCAATACATTGAATATGTAAACTTTGAAAAAGATGATCCACTCATCTCTTTCTCCCATATGTCATCAAACATTTCATTCTGAGCGACTGTAAACCAGTTCTTCCAGTCACCAACTTGACCTAGACAAAAGACAAAATATGAATGATTAATCATTTGCTCTAGACGATATTTACTTTATTTCAAAAACTTCGAACTAGTTGCTATGATAAACAAGAGGGCCATGATGGCCCTGGATCGCTCACCTGACACAACCACATCCAAGCAATGTCTTAAACAAGCATCATGGCCAAGTTTGATAACAACTGAGTCAAACATGTGACCTCTGGTGTGTATAAAGATTTTTCCATATTTGGGCAATGTGACCTAATTTTTGACGACCCATATTCAAATTTGACCTAGAAATCATCAAAACAACATTCCTGACCAATTTTCAGGAAATTTGGATCAAAACTGCGGCCACTAGAGTGTTAAAAAGATTTTTCTATTTTTAGCTCCTTTGACCTAGTTTTTGACCGGACATGTCCAATCTTAGCACTTGACCCAGAAATCATCAAAACAACCTTCCTGACAAATTTCCAGAATATTTGAATAAAACTGCAGCCACTAGAGTGTAAACAAGCTTTTTCTCTTTTTAGCTCCTGTGACCTAGTTTTTGACCTGAGATGACCTATCTTCGAACTTGACCCAGAAATCATCAAAACAACCTTCCTGACAAATTTCCAGAATATTTGAATCAATACTGCAGACACAATAGTATTTAAAAGCTTTTTCTAATTTTAGCTCCTGTGACCTAGTTTTTGACCGGAGATAACCCATCTTCGAACTTGACCTAGAAATCATCAAAACAACCTTCCTGATAATTTTCCAGAATATTTGGATGAAAACTGTAGCCCCTCCTGTGTTAACAAGCTTTTTCTATTTTCACCTCCAGTGACCTAGTTTTTGACCGGAGATGACCCATCTTCAAACTTGACTTAGATATCATCAAAACAACCTTCCTGACAAATTTCAAGAATATTTTAATCAAAACTGCAGTCACTAGAGTGTTAACAAGCTTTTTCTATTTTTAGGCCCTGTGACCTAGTTTTTGACCGGAGATAACCCATCTTCGAACTCGACCTAGAAATTATCAAAACAACCTTCCTGACAAATTTCCAAAATGTATGGATGAAAACTGCAGGCCCTAGAGTGTTAACAAGCTTTTTATATTTTTAGCTCCTGTGACCAAGTTTTTGACCGGACATGACCCATCTTCAAACTTGACTTAGATATCGTCAAAACAACATTCTGGACAAATTTCCAGAATATTTAGATGAAAACTGCAGCCACTAGAGTGTTAACAAGCTTTTTTTATTTTTAGCTCCTGTGCCCTAGTTTTTGACTGGAGATGACCCATCTTCGAACTTGACCTAGATATCATCAAAACAACCTTCCTGACAAATTTCCAGAATATTTGGATGAAAACTGCAGCCTCTAGAGTGTTAACAAGCTTTTTCTATTTTTAGCTCCTGTGACCTAATTTTCGACCGGAGATGACCCATCTTCGAACTTGACCTAGATATCATTATAACAACCTTCCTGACAAATTTCGAGAATATTTGGATGAAAACTGCAGCCTCTAGAGTGTTAACAAGCTTTTTCTATTTTTAGCTCCTGTGACCTAGTTTTTGACCAGAGATAACCCATCTTCGAACTTGATCTGTATTTCATTAAGACAAACATTCTGACAAAGTTTTATGATGATTCAATCAAAACTGTGACTGCTAAACTGTTAACAACTCAATTGTTGACGACGCACGACGCACGACGACGGACGCCGAACATAGCCCCATCACTAAACCTCACCTTGACCACTTCATGGTCAGGTGAGCTAAAAAAATCAACACATTTGAGCAAATGACCGAACTTTGAGATAACAATAAGATTATTACAATAATGTTTCTGTCATAAAGTACCATACTTCAGCGCGAACGCAAAAATAAAACGAATAAATTATGTATCTTTTGTTTAACGTTAATATCATCACAATGTGTAGATAACTTGCAACAGACGGCAAGAGAGTTAACTTGTAAGATGAAAACTTTTAAAGGAAGCCTTGAAGAATTAATTTAATCTAAGGCTTGTATATTGTGTTGAAGAAATACGTACAGGAAAATAAAACCATGACAAGATTTATATAATCTAAAGTCCTACATCTGCGCATTATGCCCATGCGTTTACAATACGCATAAACTATATATACATACAATACAAATCAACGAAAATAAAGATTTTCATTTTGACTATGCATTTCTCATCAAACTATCGATACATTTCTGAATGTATTCTATAAACAAACCGGATGCTATCCTATCATTGGAGTATGTGAAAGTAAAATAATTATGTGATGTATGTTTGAAAATGGGGTGTCACGTTTTCCGTCTAAAATGATTCGGTCGATATTTTGCCAGTTAGAAAATTCAATAACCTAGGTTAGTATAAGACCAACAGTCAAAGATGTTGCAGAATGATATTAAATATTGCATTTGTTCTATATGAGGTGTGACTGCTTTTAATATAACTAGTTGTACAGACCTTTGCTTTTTCTTATTGTGCACAGCACGGCCCTTGCGAAGAATAATTATCCCATTGTTATATTGATGTGTGTAACAAATTTCGAAGAATTGTCATATTTTATCATAAAGAAACAAAGTTAATGTTTAAAATCTTAGTGTCCATTCTGTTAAATGGTTAAATGTTTAAGAATATTTGCTAACCTTGACATCCTTACTTGAATTCTTTAATTTAAAGATGTTCAAACTATAAGTCAGTTTATGAAAAAAAGTCTGTATGCATAATTCAATCACCAACACTAAATTTTATGAGAATAAATGATCACAAGAAAACATTAATAAGATTAAGTACGAGACAACTTTTTACAGCTTTGTAGAAATTCAACTTGCTGTTGTAAATATAAAAATTCGATTTGCTGTTGTAAATACAGAAATTCGGAAGGAGTGCAATCTCTCGAGAGCAAGTACTACAAACTAAAAATAATATATTTATTTGGCAATTTCTGTATAACTACCGATATATAGTCTATAAAATGTATATCCTAGATAAAGTAAGAGCTAAACCGAAAGATATCTATTAGAAAAGACAGAGAATTATAAAATATTATATTTGACTTTTACCTTTTCTCAAAAAACTGAAATCTGACTTGAAAAACATTTCTTTGAATGCAGGAGGTACCTTGTCCCTCTTAACCATTATATCAAAACCGCACTGTTTTAAAATGTCATTCTTCAAATTGTTGTCTAAGTCGACACCAAGAAACTTCAAAAGCTTCTCAATTTCCTCAGAACCATTCTGTGTGTACAAATTTAAATAGTCTATATTCCAATGTTAATATAGTGTTATAAAAAGTGTCAAAAGTCATATTTAAATGTTTTCGTGTATGCATTGAAATAAATTATAAATTATGACAATTATATTTTCATACTCAGTAATTTTGGTATCTTATTTTTTCGATTTCTTATAAACAGAATATTGATAATTATTATCTTAACTTACCAGTTCATTAATTGTTAACACATGCGAGACAATATTACTTTTAGTGAATGCGTCATAATAAGATTGTTAATTCATAACCTCCCAATATACATACAGAACATTTTCATCGCTAACGATGAGAAGTTAATGATTTAAATATCTACTTTATCATTTATACATTTTTATATTTATACACTTCTGGAGGGGGATTCAAACATTTTCATTAACTTACCTTTTTCATGTCCTCGTAATACATGATGTGAAGAGGATAACCAACGCCATTTTGTATTTCCTTTTCCCACCCAATGAGGTAGTCTGTGTACTTCCCGTACTCTACTGTAAAATTAATAATAATTCACTTTATTTTAAAGTTTCACTGACTTTCTATTTCATTCGTCCTCTATAGTTTTATTTTATTACATTTTTACCCGCAATGTTTTTCACCATTAATTGTCATCTTAGATTTAAACAATTACATTATTTGATTTTTATCAAAATGGAATTTGATTTGAATAGGAATTTATAATAAAACAAATACTTAGTAGATATTGTATACTAATTCCACGGAGAATTTTGCAACTGTAAATTAGTCGAAAGTTAGTTTCAATCGTCTTATGCCCGGTTCGAGAGGAGAATATAATGACTAGAACAGCTTAGAAGAGAAACCCAATCGAACGCAGAAGTACCATAAAGGCGATCTGTCATATTTAATTTCATAGTTTTATTGAAAAGCTGTTAGGAACATCAAGAAAACATCATTAATGATAGGTGTGTATACACAGTATTTTGCCCTCTGATATATGATATGTGCTTCGTCTATTATGGACTCTTTCTTAGAGAAACAAAACAACCTGTAATAAAGTTTCTGGTTGCAGAAGGTTAAAAGCCCTGCCACATCCACATCTTCCAGAGGCTTAAAAAAGATATTCTGATAAATGTGTATCACTTTCAACCTTCTACAACTGGGTTTCTCAGTTTCATGAAGGCAGAACAAGTGTTTGTGACAGGCCTAGGACTGGGCGGCTAGCTGAGGCGGTGACCCCAACAATGGTAGCAAATGTTAAAGCTTTTGTCAACAAAAATCGTCGAATAACTTTGGAGGAGGTAGCTAACAAGTTTAGCATCGGTAAGGCATCGGCACACAAGATTTTACACGGACACCTAGGCATGAGCAAGGTAAGTGCCAGGCGGTTGCCTAGACAGCTGTCCGCAGAACAAAAGGCAACCGGAGTAACCAATACAAAAGAATATCTAAGTCGTTTTTATCGTGAAGGAGATAAGGTTTTGAACCGCATTATCACTGGAGATGAGATGTGGGTTCATTATTCCGAACCTGATCAAAGCAGTTGAAACGAGCTGGTTCCCCACCTCCTAATTGTTTGTTTGTTTCTTTGGAATTTTACGGCTGTCAACACATAAATGGCCATATCGTGCCGAATGCTATAATTTGCTTAAAATATTATGTAAAACTCTGCAAATGACAACACAAAAGAGCCAATTAGATCCTTGAATACAAGTTTATCTCTTTCAAATAATCGATTATGTTTTTTTATGGAATTGTATTAAAGAGTTTTTTTGAGTGAATTTACATTATAAAATCTATAACGGGCCTGTGAAAAATCATGACATTCCAGACGGTAAAAGTTTCATTGCAAGCTACACAGAAAGTGGCATTGTCATTCGTGAGGAGATTAGAGTGGGTAACTTTAGTGTGTCCAATTCGGCATCGAAGAAGAACTGTTTGATCATGGCGGTTTGACAAAGACAAAAATGGTGACACATCAAGATGGCCAACCTCCTAAAAAGTTTAAGCTGTCTCCTTCGGCTGGCAAAGTCATGCTTGTTGCCTTTTGGGATCCACGAGTGATACTTACTCATTTCATGCCAAAAGGTCAAACTGGCACCGCTAAGTGTACTATTCTGAAGTAATTCTGAAAAATCTCAGAGAAAAGCTAAGGCAAATGCTTCACAGGTAAGCACAGAAAAATGTCCTCCTTCACGATAACGACCCCTCCCATACCGCCGCAGCTACAGTTGAGGTTATCAACTCTTGCAAATGGTAATTGTTGTCTCACCCTCCTTATAGCCCAGACCTCACCCCCTGTGACTTTTATTTGTTTCCAGAACTGAAAAAATTGCTTGCTGGAAAGAAATATAAGACCAGGGCGATTTTGATATCTGCTGTTACACAATACCTAAAACATAAGTCTACGTCATGGTTCACAGCGGGAATACAAAAGCTCCAACGAAGATGGCAAAATTGCGTATACGAAGGTGGAGAATATTTTGAAAAAGAGTAGATTTTTTTAAAATGTTGAATGGTTTTCGAGAACGAGTCAAAGGGATATTTTCTGACTTCCCCTCGTATTTCAGGGATTCGTGATTTTGTGCTTGGATGCTGTCATATTTAAAGGTTGCTCGTATAAACGCATATGACCTACATTTTCCTTGCAGATACACGGGTAGCCAGTCACTCCATTTGCCATCATATTCGTACGATTTTATACCCTTCATATGATTGTAGTAGGACACAGCGGTGTCTTTTGGGTTACGACAACACAGTATCGTCTTTATCTGTTTATCTTTCATGTCCTTCAACAGTAGATACCTGCAATAGTGTTTGCTGTTTCAAAATATTTATTTGCAGAGTGTATGTTTAACAAAGACTTAAAAACGGTTATTTGCAGAGTGGATTTTTAACCATGACTTAACAGTCCTCGCTATTTATTAGGTTGTCTGGTATTATTCCGTACAATAAAGGAGACGAGTAAGAATTAAAAGTACATTGAATTGACGCGCGCTTATGATACCAACGTTTCAAGAGCATGCTTTTGGTACAAAATGCATTTCACCCGATCTAGAGAAAAATTATTCCAAAAGAACGCACAAAACAGCAAAATTGAAACTGTTCCTGGTTGAGTGTTCCTTAAGTATCATGTATTCTCTATTTAAATATGTGTAAGATATTGTATTGAAGACGTAATATCATTTAGTATAGATTGTTAGAATAAAGGTTCTCAGTTACATGTATGCCCAAACATGAATGCAAAGGATAGAAATTAGGTCTGCTCTCTTTAACACTTGAACAAATGCAAAACATTTTCTGCAGTTAAGTACCTAATTGCTGCTTTATCACATCAAAACCCTCTGCATATCTGAACGTTTATGTCGCATAACTGTCAGTTTTTTCATTCCATAATATAATGTTACCGTTCTAAAACAAAAGTGGTAACAACATATTGTTGTCTTAAATTTATGTTGTTATAAACAAAGACAGTAAGTAATATTGCCTTTTAAGATACTTATATCTGTTGTCCAAACAACGCGATTAATGAATTGTCAAAACATATGCATACATACCGACAAGGATAATGGCAATTGACAATTCTTGGTGCAGGCTGTTTATCAACACTTTCAGCAGATTGAAATTCCAGCATTAAATCTCCCTTGTTGCCCTCCACTGGTTCAGCGCTCTTCTTTAAAATCATCATAAGTATTTCGTACATCCAGTTAGTGCCTATGAATTAATGTTTACACATATAAACAATTCTAATGAGATTTGAACATCTTCATTTAAGTTTAAGGAATAAGATTAAATTATTAAAAGACGTATCGAAACAAAATATTTAAACACCATTCATATACACATAATTGCATAATCATACTTGTGGATGCTGTGACGCTCTTTTTAATAATCAGCATTAATTGAATACAAATGGTTATTTCATGCAATCAAAATACTTGACCAGAAGAAGTATAAGTTAGTTTTAAAGAATATTGTTCTTATATTAACAGCTGAATTGGAAATATGCCCTTTATTATTACATTGCTTTCTGTAGTAATATTAATACAATCGTGTTCAATGACATAAGTCAAGTCAACCTTAAACTTTAGTTTCTTACGAAAAAGTTTAGTTCATAAGTTTAAATAAACCCGCTGACAACTGAGTCAGGTTATTGATTCTTTGACTTAGTGGCAAAGAGCATCTATCAGCTCTGAAACAAAGTAACAACTCTCTATTCAATTAAGACAAAGAATCGATTGCCTGATAGTTGCCAGAATAATCTTAAAGGTAGGAACGCACTTAACCGTTACACACACACAATCTTCACTAATAATCATGAAAATTTAGTTTTTAAACAGAAACGTTTCTGTTTGCAAATCTGATAACATACTGATTTAAAATGAATTCATTCCAAGGGCCCCAAGTCCCGATCCTACTTCTATATAAGGATAGACAGAAGCAAATGCAAAATAAAAATCCGGCGGGGATGAATTTGAAAGTCTTAATCAAACTTTCGATGATCGACTTGATAATCAGGTTCCATGATAACCGCCATATGAACACATCTGCGATGTTTCAAAATTCTAAATTTTACCAGTTCATGTTAAATGTTGAATTCTGCTTAAGCCGGTGCTAGGGGGCGTGGACGGTATTTTGCGCTTGCCAGTACCGTCCATGAACAGGCTCAATCAAACCGAGCCTGCAACATTTTCGATTTTGCCGCGTTGGGCTTTCTTTAGGGATTCTTATTTCACTCTATTTTGAGTAGTTGTTAAATACTCTGACCAGAAGTTGTTGTTTACTTTAACCACGCGATTAGAGTGTGACTTAAAACAGAGAGATCAACGACAACACCAAACATTCCACGCTTCACTTAACTTAACTTAGATATAAATCTGTTTCACAAAAACAAAACATATCAAAAACGGTCGGAATGGATCGTCTGACGCTCAATTAAAGGTATTTTTGTATTCGAATATAACTAAATGGCGGTGACATTATAATTGTTTTCATCATATTAAGTCTCGATGACATTCTTTTAAACGACTTGTATACCTGTTTTGGGGTATGTACACAACATTACATCATTTTCCTGAAATTTGTAATCAGGAACTTTGTCGAAGATTTGCTTCGTTTCTTCAGGTTCTTTCATAAAGTATGGTGTAATAAATCCACCAACGTCAACTGCATGCATAGTTGCACCCCCAAGATCTTTTATCCATACTGACGTCATTCTGAAACTAAAATCATTAAATCAAGAATTTATTTGTAATCAATTTAAATTTTGAATCTCGATAGAACGTCTCTAACTGCATATCGGACTGCCTTACCGACTTGCAAAGCACCATCCTGTTGAAAAAACTGACGGTTGTAAACAGACTGACGAGCCGGCTCTTCCTTTTCCAGTGAAAACTTTTTCCTACTATTTTTTATTCTTTCTACGTTTCCTCTACTTTTTAAAACAATTACTACTATCCCTATGTTTGTGGACAAAATCATATTATGTAGATTGATGCTTTTTTTGTATAATGATAATAAAAAAAAGTTTTTAACTGTATCTAAAATATCATTTTTAAGTATAGCATATTAAAGACTCATTTAAGAGCTCCATACATGCAAAGAGTTGTGTTAGAAAAATGGAAAATGTATTTAAGGTATGTTTGCATATCTACCTGTTTAAAATAAGACTAATAGAATATATTGTAGAACTCTATTTAATTGGAAACCATGAAGGCCTTTATACCATCCTTTGTTTTGTTGTTTTTCGATTTTCGAAATATTTGGTAGAGAAATTATTTAAGTGGTTTACATATAACAAATTCTGGGAGCATTAGCATATATGTCAATGTGTTAGGATATGGATAGTGACTTCGAGCCATTCTGAGTATCTTCCCCTGGGCCCCTAGTTTTTATTTCTTTAATTTTGCCCCCCCCCCCTTCCCCGGGTCTCCTGTCCCCTTCCCATGTGCCCTTTGTCTTTGTAGGCTTATTATTCAATCATTTATTTGTTTTGTTTGAGTTCCTTATCATTTACGAATTATTTCCTACTATTCATCATTTATTTGTTTTCTTTGGGTTCTTTGTCAGTTACAAATTATTTATTATTTTGGTGATTGACCTGCCCGTGCTCTGTCTTGTGCCCTGTCCTGTTTTTGTTTGGTGTCCGCATGGGCTCCTTGCCACTGTTTTTTGTTGCTGGGTCATATGGGGTTTGCCGCTTGCGTTCATTGAACGTCGCCTTTCCTTGTTGATCTTATCATATTTCATATGACACTATTAAAGTTTAGTTCTAGGAGGCTTGAATTTGGTCCAAAACAGTTTCAGACTTTCATAACAATAGAACCTAAATAAACATGTTACATAAGAATAATCTAGAAAGCATACTTATATGCGTTTAAAAGTTCTAAATGTTCTAAACCATTAACATAAATGGCAAACAAAGTAAAAGATAGACATACCCAACGGCTTATTTTGTTTCTCCTTGTACTAAATATTAAACCTAAATATGATTTCCTCCAAGTTGAACATACCACAATGAAAAATATTCACATTTTCAAATACGACACTGAAGAAGGTATATGATAACATATTTGATGACCTTTATTTAATCTGTTGTAATTCGTTTGGTGTAAAACATGCTTGTTATCAATACGCTAAGGTTATCACACAGTGCGCCAGTAGGTGTATTTGCTAAACAATAAATTTATTTATAACGACAGTGTTTTTTTTTTTCGTTTAAAGTAAGGACTGCTTGAGAACGATGAATCATAGCTATTTGGAAATGAGAGCTAATTAAAGTGCAACATTCTTCACGCTCTCCCATTTAGCTGATTCATCGGTTGTAAAGCCATTAAGGCATATGACCATGCTAATGTATAGCACCCGCTATGAAAAGTATTCAAATAGACTAGAACGTTTGAGATGGGTCAATTTCTTTTTTCTTTAAAAAATATTTATGCACCTCTCATATCTCATTTGGAAAAAACAAAAATGTTTAATTTTATAATTAATATTTGGTATTTATTGGCTTAATAATGCTAAATCTAACAGCAAATATGGTACCTGATATTTTCAAAGTCTAATAAAATCAAAACTACACGGTTAAAGTATATGTATTTAAAATTTCACAAAAACAACCAATATGCTCTTAAAAACTAGACAAACGTTGAGAACAGACCGTTATTTTGGCAAATGTAATAAAGTTTTAGTAAAGCTCTCTAAATAGGATAATGGTCAAACACATATTAAAAATAGGAATTTTTATACATATTATATATATATCATAACTTTTGACTAGAAACAATTATTGTTCTTGTTGGGATTGTTAGATGAATGTTATTAGTTGTTTCTTAAGGATAAGATATATAGAATTCATTGCACATAAAATGCTACAATTCTAATGGCAAACAAATTATAAAACATACATTAAAATAAATAACAAGACATGTATGAAAATAAAAATAGCCATGTCAATAAACATTATATGTGAATGATAACACACAAAAAAAGAGTTAAGATAAACCCGTGTTTCCATTGTGGTCCTTACAAATATAATATTGCATGACATTTTACTTTTTGACATAAAAGTAAAAAAAAATAATTGTTATAATCAACATAAAAGTTATGAAACAGAATCAATCACGGAAGGTTTTTAAAACATAATTAATGGAAAACATTTTTCATGAAGATAATATCAAAGATTATAAAGGTTCTATATTTCTACATCCAAGCGTTCAGAGAAGTGGTCATAGCTTTAAGGAGTATATTTGACCTATGTTATCAATATATCAGTTCCTTATAGTGCCCGTTAGGGTGGTCATCCCATTAAGCACAGATAGAAAGTAGGCTGGGCTTATCCGACACATGATGTAATGACGCTGAACCTTTATCTCATGTAAACAAAATACGTTTAGTGTGTTTCGAGAAACATCAGTTTACACCAGAGAATAATCTTCATGTTTTGTTATATTAAACTTTATGTATTTTCTACATTCAGAAAAAAACCACTAAAATATCTATAAATGATTCATTTTGAATTCAGTGTTCTGTTCATTTATTCGACGCCGCTTGCAAGCGGCGTGTAGTAGATGTGCATTTGTCCATACAGCAATGGGGAAACTTATAGACTTTTTGTGTATTTTTTTGTTGTTTTAACAAAATCACACTGTTTTCAAATTTTTAAATAAAAATAGTTTTTATGATATACAACATGTCACAGAGCTTTAAAGGATTAGAATAAACGTTTAACTGAATTGATAGTGCAATGTTTGAATATCACATTCTTCTAATCATTAACTAATTTTATCTACATAATAAAAAACTTGCCAATGAGCCAGTCTATAGTCGATCTCTAAAACTTAATCGTTGAGAGAGGTGACGACTGAAACAGTGTCATTTGTTTTGTTCTGTGTTATGGCTATGTAAATAACCTTCATTTGTACAATGGGTCATCTTTCTACTTTTATAAAACTACTAGGAGATATAAATCACTTTTATCAAGGGCTTGCAAGTTGCTAAACCACTATTTGAAGCTGATTAACTGTAACAGTAGTACGCTCCAGCCTGCTGAATCTCTGTAAGGGCTAATCAGCTACTAAGTATGGGTAAGAGTTTGTATTAAGACGACCGTAGGGAGTCTAATCGAACTCTTACCCATATAACTGCAAATCGGCTCTTACAACTCGATATCAGATAAAAATATAGAAAGTGTCACCTCTTTAATTAAGCATAACATTATTTTTCCCCAGCAGTCACGTACAAACAAGGATGGGGTCCAATTACTTAATCTGGCATGTAAAAACAATGAGTTTTCAACAATACCTAAGATTGTTAATGCAATTCATTCCTTTCATATGAAACAAATAATGTTTTGCTTACTTTTCTAGAAAATATAAACAGTCAGCAATTAATTATTGACATTTTTTCTTAGAGTTAAAATGATATCAAAAAGTTACTGTGTTCTCATTTGTCTCTGCGAGCTGAGCTCCACGTGCATTATCTATGTAATAAATTTGAATGTATCCTCACATTGCTACAGTGTTATCAGCCTTTTTAGAAATACCTGACCTGGCTAATTAAAATATGCCAATTAAACAATTTTCACTATCAGCACTGGTTTCTTCATGAAAAAGCGGCTACACTAATTACTGCCGAGTAAGAGCCGATTTGCAGTTATATTACTTATAACTGTTCCGTTAACAGCTTAACTGCACTGAGCTGAAATCCGAGACAAGAGTAATTGGCTTTTTTTTTATCGTTGTTGGTTGCCCAAAAGGAAATTTCTGTAGATTGGATTTAACATATACTACACTCGCTTATACTTATGTTTTGATTGTAATGTGCAGTTCTCAAAAAGAAATAAATTGGTAAATACTAATTTTTGTTATTGGTGTTTAAATAATATTAAAATACACTTTAAAGGTATCTTTATTTGTTATTATTCAAAAGGGTTTGTTTGCCCCTTGTGGCTGAAGGGTTGCCATTAATGATAGAGACAAAGGAATTGCAGTCACTGATTATCCCCTGTTTGATCATAAGAAGCGACTTAATGGGTTTAAATAACTGGAGTCTATGCATCTGTTAGCTCCAGCTGGTGATGTGGTTTTGACCCCCAGTGTTGTATTGACGTTAGTAAACACACAGGTAACGAGGCAATCAACCTTTTATATAGTCATCTTACTTGTCAGAATTCTTTATATATAATGATATCCCCAGTTATAAACAAAACACAGGTAAGTAGTCAAATTAAACCATCAAATATGTTTTAATTTATGCTAGAACATGATATTTACTGTGCCTTTGCATGAAATGTCATATGAAACTGTTTAGCTGAACTAAAGGTAGACGGAACACCTTTATTACAAAGCTATTCAGTTATAAAGTTCAATACAGTAGCTCTAAATAACTGAATAATAACAGCTGAGAAATAGCCAATACCAGTAATAGCTGAGAAAAGTCAAAAAATTTAAACTTTTGTCAGAGTGATCAAATTCAAAATAAGATATAACAAGTAAAAAAAGAACAAATCTTGATTTATGAGCATCTTAAGGATATCAGGTTTATAAAAGCCCACCTTAATGTCGGGACTGATATAAAAGAATTGGAAGCTATATGTCCTATTTATGACATGTCAGAAAAGACCCTATAAAGGTAGACACATTTCATAATTCCATGAAAATGAAAATAGATACTTTCGAAATAATATTAATTTAGATAGTCTTTAGTCACTGTCATTTAGATAAAAATGGTTTCCATTATATCTACTAGACTTAAGCATGTTTTATCATTTAACATTGAGTTGTCCAGACTACTCCTAAAAATACACTGTTGCAATTTCATCCAAACTTTTCAGGAATGAAATATACCTAGTGTAGTTGTGCATATTGTCTAGATTTTCTGGTTAAATGATTTTTTCAGAGTTATGGCCCTTTAGTGATTTTATTTTTTTGTCCGGACTACTTCTTTTATACCTTTTGTACCAAGTGTAATATCCACGAAACTTTACAGGGTTGCTTGGTAGCTGATGTACTTGCGCATATTACACGGGTTTTCCATTTGAATTGTTTTTTGCTGATTTATGGCCCTCGAATAAAAATTGTCTCCTGATACAGTCATTTTAACATTCTACAAAGTAGTGGCGAAATACATCAACGAAATAATGGTTAATCACCCTCAATACAACTGCTAAATTTGCTACCATCATGCAACACATGCTACACAGAAGGTAATACATGCTACAAAGTAACCAAAACTTCTATGTGGTCTATCTGTACGTCACAATCCTCGAAATCTATAGTGATATTTCATCCAAACTTTACAGGAACGATCGGTACTAAGTTTAGTTTTACATTTTGTCCGCATTTTCCAGTTTAAATGATTTTAGTCAGATTTATGGCTTTGTAATATATTTTCTTTGTCAGGACTACTTTTACAAACATTTTTTGACATTTACAAACCAAGCGTTATTCTACTCATGTCAGATAAATTCATGATAACATAGGGTCAGTTTATAAACCAAAGTTGGTAGTGCAGCTATTATGTGTGTACATATTCCTAAATTTTACTTAAGTGTACCTTGTTTTAAACAGTATCAGTAGATATGATTGAACGTCCTAATTCTTATACATCTTAAATCCATCATGTTATCATTAAGCATTATCTTTAAACCAACTTAAGACAAAGTCAAGACTGTTAACTTGACCACAAGTGGTTATGAACAAGCAGATAAGATATTAAATAAAATCTACAAGCTCAGCTGATCTTTTATTAGAAATGACAGGATTTAAAAGTTACAAAAATGTTTAGTGTGAGTCTGTGTGTAGGATAGGAGGATAGGATCTAGATATTTTGTGTGAATTTACAGAATGCTAGCTCTAGTGGTTGGTGGGCTAGGTGTAACTGGTGCCTTGTATTTACTGCTAAATCTCTGGTGGCCAGGCTGGTACTTAGATTGGTACTATCGTCGCAACAACTTGAAGGTCGGAAATGCTATCCTTCATTCTTTGTCAAGAGGAAAATTTCTTATAGACATTTTTGAAGAGTTTGCAAATTTAACTCCACAAAAAACATTTATAATTTACAATGATGAGAAGTTAAGTTATGAATACATTGATCGGAAGGCAAATCAAGCCGGCCGGGCTGCCATTGAAATAGGAATCAAACCTGGTTCAGTTGTAGCAATCATGATGTACAATGAGCCGGGAATAGTGTGGTCATACTTAGGTAAGAATATTTTTAAATCATTTATTTTTGGTCAAAAACTTGATTCAGAAAAGGGAGATCTATTGTCTGTCACTTGCGATGATAATTTATAATTACTGATAAGTAACCCAGGAAAGCTGGTAAGGTTGATCAATTAAAAAGATATGACCAAATATGTTTAAAAATTGGGTTAAAATCACAATAACAAAACAGTTATAAACTGTTCAAAATTAATCCGCATTATTATTTTGGGATCCAATAAAACATATATTTTGACTTTGCATAAATTCTCAGACATTTGATTACAAATTTTAACAGTTTATCTATGTAAATGGGTGAACTTCTTAGTAAAGTCAAGAATAAGATGACATATCTTAACCACATATATTCCTGATGTATTTTTCTACATAATTTGATTACACATAGTTACACATTGCAGCTCCGTTAACTAATGCAGATGTTAGGTTTTTAATATACTACTTAAAAATCTTAATAAAAAACAAAAATGCATTGTGTATAGTTTATCAAAGAAACTCCACTGAGGTCTAAAAGCCCAAATTATTAAATTGGATTTTGTAACAAAGATCAGCTGCGGCATTTAAGACGGAACATATGCAAAGGATATATAGAAAACGTACCATGAATAAATTGAAACAATCGTATTTTTTGCTATTTCTTCACGATTTCGGTGAAAAGCGTTGCAACGCTTTTCAATTATTTTTTTTATCTTTTTACACAATTGAAATAATTTAATTATTCTTGTAAAACAGAGTGAACAATTGATCTGATATTGTGCACAAAATTGATGGTCTAGACCTACATCAAATGGAACATTAATCTTAAAAAAAGTATTTCTGGCCCGTCATGTAAAAAAACTTCAATACTAGTGGAGTCCCTTTAAAGTAAGTCAGAAATATCAATTACTATTATTATATACAACATAAAATGAAGGAGCTTCATGTTCATATATGATTTCAGGGTTTATGAAAGTTGGTTACCAGATTGCTTTTATCAACTTTAATCTCAGAGCACATTCTCTCTCACATTCTATCAAAGCCAGTGGTGCCAAGGTCCTAATTATTGGTGAAGGTAAGTGTAAATTATTGCTTTGATCTAAGAAATTTTGATATTAGAGTTACTGCCCTTGCCTTAATGAAATTTATTGTGCTTACAGACCTTGTGCCAAAGACATGTATAAAAAACTTGTCACTGGTAGTCAAGGAATCAGTATTTACAATACTAATACTTATACATGTATAAAATGGCGAGAAATAAAGAATCCCAAAAGAACGTACAAAACGACAAAATTGTAACTGTTGCTGGCTCGGTTTGATTGAGCCTGTTCATGGATGGTACTGGAATGTGAAAGTTACCGTTTACGCCCGCTAACACCGGCTTAAGCTGTATTCACCATTTAACATGACCTTGTAAAATTTGTAATTTTGAAACATCTGCAGATGTATTCATACGGCGGTTATCATGGAACCTCCAATGTGACACGTTTGTACCTTTTCATGAAAAGCGGCATAAACCTTGTCACAGGTAATCAAGGATTCAGTGTTTACAATCCTATGATCCAATATACATGAAGTTAGATTCTGTAGGATCTTAAATGGTATTGTCCAACAATACTGACCTGGCACTTTTTCCTAAAGGCCATTAAAAAAACACTGTTATCTTATGAATATATCGATATATTTGTTAACTTCACATATTAGTGAAGTGATTGTATTGGTACAGGTGCCGTGCTATCGATCTTAAAGTTACTAGTTCGATTCTTAAAAAGGCACGTTTATTAAGAAGATACATATACAGTTTTATTTATTTTTATTTTTATATAAATTTTTTAATTTACTTGCAAGAATTAATTTGTTTCATTACATTTTGTTAATATGATACTTTTGAAGTGTTGTTTTATACTGTTATATCTTTTTTATTTCCTTACATTATTTTTAATAAAAAGTACAGCGCATTTATATACGATTCAAAAGTGTCATTTGTACTGCTCATTATATAACGACGATTTCCGTGTCACTGTTCTAATCATCAATAGATGTATCATCAAGGTTTATAATAATTTATAATGATTTTCTCCATGTCAGGGACTCTGTAGCAGTCATGTGCCTTCTTTTTGAGCATTCTCACTATACATGCAGTTTTAAAAATACTACACAGATAGAATACACACATAAAAAACCGTTTGCACGAGGTTTGAAAAAGAATGGCAATTTTAAGATTAAAAAGAAAAAAAAAAGAAATACATGTAAAATTGGCTGTGCCAGAATTCGAACCTGCGTGTTTACAGCTGTACTCTTTCAGTGAAATACTTTTACTGTGATAATTTTAAGAGGGATTCAGAATTTAGATCATTTAACATATGGTTATATACATCCATACGATTTACAAGGAGATGGTGACGTTTATGGTATTAACAGACTATATTGTCAAAGGCAAGACTGCCAGATCAATATTGTTTGACTATAAGATATTAAAATCTCATTTTTTATGATACTAATTTTTCATAATATATATACTCTTCTATTACATATATTGGTTCAAAAGTAACAGGTGATATTTTTGGCTAGTAGTGATATTAGTACAGAATTAAGCAGATGATATTCTTTGGCTAGTAGTATATCGGTACAGAAGTAAGCAAGTGATATTCTTAGCTAGTAGTAATATTGGTATAGAAGTAAGTAGGTGATATTCTTTGGCTATGTAATTTTGGTACAGAATTAAGCAGGTGATATAATTGGCTAGTAGTGAATTAGAATTAAGCAGGTGATATTCTCGGCTAGTAATGATATTGGTGCAAAAATAAGCCAGTTATAATCGTGGCTAGTAGTGGCATCCGTACAGGAGTAAGCAGGCGATATTCTTGGCTAGTAGTGATATAAGTACAAAAGTAAGCAGTAAATATTCTTGGCTAGTAGTGATATTGGTACAGAAGTAAGCAGGTAATATCCCTGACTAGTAGTGAAAAGTTGCAGAAGTAAGCAGGTAATATTCTTGGCTAGTTGTGATATTGGTACAGAAGTGAGCAGGTCACATTCTTGGGTATTAGTGATACTGGTAAAGAAGTAAGCAGGTAATATTCCTTGCTTAGTAGTAATATTGGTACTAAAGCATTCCTGGCTAGTAGTGAAATTGGTTCAGAAGTAAGAAGGCGATATTCTTTGCTAGTAGTTGTATTGGTACAGAAGTAAGCAGGTGATATTCTTAGCTAGTAGTGATATTGGTACCGAAGTACGCACGTGATATTCATTGCCTGTTATAATATTAATACATAAGTAAGCACTGGATATTCCTGGCTTGATGTGATATTGGTACAGAACTAAGCAGGTCATATTCTTGGCTAGTTGTGATATTGGTACAAAAGAAAGCAGGTAATACTCTTGGCAAGAAGTGATATTGTTACATAAGTAAACAGGTGAAATTCTTGGGTAGTAAGAAAATTGTCACAGAAGTCAGTAGGTGATATTCTTGGCTAGTAGATATATTGGTACTGGAGTAAGCAGGTAATATTCTTGGCTAGATGTGATATTGGTACAGAAGTAAACATGTCATATTCTTGGGTATTAGTGATACTGGTAAAGAAGTAAGCAGGTAATATTCCTTGCTTAGTAGTAATATTGGTACTAAAGCATGTAAGCAGGTGATATTCTTGGCTATTAAGATATTAGTACAGAAGTAAGCAGGTGATATTGTTTGCCAGATGTGATACTTGTACAAAAGTATGCAGGTATAATGAAAGAAGCAGACTCCCGTAAATGATAGTTTCGTAAATGTTGACATTTCTGTTTAGCAAAGCAATTTTATGAGAAATTGTTAAGTTTTAGGTTTCGATAAATGACATAATGTAAGCAAGACAATTATCCACTTTAGATATATCATAAAATGGTTGCACAGATAATCTTAATCTTCATATTTTATGTTAACTATATATCTGTTTTAATATTACTATTGAATAAACTAATAATACGAGTTTGAGAAAATTAATTTTTGTAATATCAAAAACAGTTTTGTATGACAAAATCTGCAATAGAATGACGAAAATAAGCTGTGTTTACTGTTAACCCGATTCTTTGAAGTTACTAATGCTGTGAAATATGCTTCGAGTTAGTTTACGACTAATAATATCTGTCATATATTGCGGTTCGGATCGGAATATCCGTACCGAGGGGACACGCCTATCGGGGCCGGGCGGTAACGAGGTCAGATATATTTTCTTGCATATTCTAACATATTCCATTATATTTAAAACTCTTTACCTCCATAAAAAATTCCATGTAAATTTATGTCATTACACCCGTAACTTGTTTTCCTACATGTATGAAATTACAACTTCATTCATAATGGTAAAATTACATCATCCTTAGCATGCCATGGTACAGCACGCGACTCATTTGGCACCTCCCATGCCTAATAAAATTTCCAGTCTGATATGCAAGAAATACTGTTTCTCTTTACCCTTCCGTGCAAAGAGATTTTCACAAACAAAGTCAATCCAATAGGCTATTAAACAAATTTAATCATACATACAGTAACAGTTGTTCAAACATTTTACACACATATTATAATATGTTGAAGACATGGAACGTCGTACTTATGTGAAAATAAGAGCATAATGTCTTTGACCATATATTCTTTCTGTTTGTATAAATAGGAGATGGTCTTGTTGAAGCTGTTATGGACATATTACCTGAAATACCTGATGTAGCAGTGTATGTATGTGGGAAGACAGGTGAAGAAAAACCACCATCATTTATGTCATTTGATGTGGTGATGACAAGAATGAGTACAGATCGTATAGACAGGTCTGTGAGGAAACATGTTCTGCCTTTCTCACCAAATGTTTACATCTATACATCAGGAACAACAGGTAATAGAAAAAACAAAAACAAAAAACTCGACAGTACAACTTTCAACAAAACAATACAGGTCATAAAAATCAATTGATGCTAAAGTCTTGTTTTAATACATATTTTCTAAGAAAATTAAATCACAACATATTTATATTTAGGAACAAAGCTGCATATTAACATGACTGTGTAAAACAAAATGCTGTTGAAAGCGAAAACATTGTTTTTTAAATTTAAATGTACCTTCTATGCTATTAATTAAAAATGTATCACATATCATTTGCTTCCTAATGATTGTACTCTCATTACCAGTTGATGATTGTCTTTTTTCTTGAATAGAAAAATATATCTTAACTTCTTTAAAACAGAATACAAAATATAATTATTGTTATTGTTTTTTGATACTTATTGATTTATCTGAAAAAGGTTATCATGCAATAAAGGCATATTCAACATGAAATTTATGTTTCTCAAAAGAATCCGTACAGTAAATAAAGAAGACTGATTTACAAGTCAAAGTTTGTATCAATATTTACTTGCCACATTTTTTAGGATATCCAAAACCGGCTATTCGAAACGCCCGGAGCTGTGTGGTGTCTGGTCATCGATATTTTCATGGGATGACCAAAGATGATATTTTATATCAAACTTTGCCTCAATATCATTCTGCAGCATTACTTGTTGGCTTTGGAAAAGTCATTACTAGTGGTAGTTGAAATTAACAACACTATCCAACAATTGTTCCGTACATTATGGTATAAGGTACTGAGCTGTGCATTATAGATATGTAAAGTTAAAAGTGTACATTATAAAAACAGACAGAGAAAAATAAAACTATATTATACGAGAACCATCCCATGGAAACGTTCTGTTTTTGATTGAAGTATTCCCTGCACCTTTTCTCATTCTAAATGCATATCGGGGGTTGACCGCAAGATTGTTGTAAGTCCTTCTTTATTTCATATAAGTTACTGCAGTTTTGCGGTCAACCCATCCTGTAAGCAGCATCTATACATGTAGGTGTACTCTATTAGGTTAGTGTTTGAAAAATACCAATTAGTACATCAGGAAAGTTACTCTCCTGCGCATCGGTCGAATGTTTCACTAACGCTCACTTCTTACTGAAGTAACGTGAGTGTATTCAGTAAGCTGCGAAGGGAGCGTACAGGAAAGTATGCATGTATAATATACATGTACATCTCTGTTAATTAAAACAGTCAATACATCCACATTATAATGAAATGTAAATCAGTGTTATACCATAAGGTACTGTTAACCCATGTATATGGTTATGGTCACAATAAACAGAATGGTTATGTACATATAACAATTATTTTGTTATGTGTATTTAATTTTTTGTCAAAGTTCTTAATCCAGAAAAGTTTCATTCTATTTGTTGTAACTTGTATATCTTCTCTGTGGTAAGAAAGGAGTTACAAGCAGAAACAGATTTGTTTAACAATAAATTATAAATATATATTCAAGTACATTATACCTTGCAATATATTCCAGTGTCTTATTTATTCAGGTCTTCCTAAGCCAGCTATTGTCCCTCATGTTCGTTGCCTAGCAGCGGGTAATTCTTTTAATGTATTTGGAATGACTACAGATGACATAATTTACGAGTCTCTGCCTATGTATCACTCAGCGGCACTGCTTGTTGGCTTCGGAAATGCTGTCACCAAAGGTTTAGTACCTTATTGTTAAAACAAATATTTCACCTAAAAGATACATGCAGAATAATACATTTGTTTCACATAATCTATGTTACAGGAGCGTATTAAAACCATTTTCAAATTGAATAAAACAATATTATTACACTAGTGTAATAACACTTTGACTTGACATCATTTGCTTTATATTCAAACATAACATTAAAGTGCGCTAAAATTAGTGTAATACTATAGGAACCTCAATGAAAAATGACTATTTTTAACTTTAAACGTGTCTTTATTTTGAATATGTATTAATAGAATATTATCTTCCCGCAGCTTCAATACTAAATTTATTGAACTGGTTGAATAAAACAATATATTTGCTTGCCAGATTATATGATTTTATTCAATAAATTTTGTAATTAATCTACACTCACGTCTAGTTTAAATTTATTATTATATGATCTAAATATAGCAGCAATCTTATTAATCCAAAGAGTAGTCAACAGAACTTTCTATAGAATCATATTCACTGGCTGAAATGGATTTTCCCTGTCTAGAAATAGATTGAGTCTCATATTCAATGACCATTAATCGTATAATGATAATTACGCGTGCGCATTGAAAACAATTGTTGCGTTTTGTTCTTTATGACATATATCTTGAATAGAATTTTATTTCTATTCAAGTGTAGATAGTGAGCGTTCATGAAATTGCTAAAATAACTTTAAATTTTGCGATAATTGTTTTCAATTTTATATTTTACTCCACAAAAACTGAATCAAAATCCCATGTGCATTATAGGAATTTCCGTAAATATTCATCTGAATTCATTGGTAACATTGAGTGGGACAATCCTTTTTATATTTTAGGCAATTTTGATGAAATTTAATTCTTATTCTAAACCTTTTTTCATTATCAATTAATGGTCACTCTTCATTATGATAGCCATTCCTTCGAAATAAGCATGTGCCGCATATTTAGCTAAACTTTGCTGTACACAAATGGCATAATGTCACTTCAACTAATTAAGTGAAGTTCTTTCTGTTAGGAAAACTGGGCTGTATGAATATTTAAATGAATATGTATGTTTGTCATCTAGAATAGGAAATATATATCAATATATTTTATCATTGTGGAGTACAAAACGCACTTATTTAAATATACGTTTCTTTATTTAACTTTAACAATTTTTATAATTACATTGCTGTAATTAAAAGAATATTAAGTTATAAGTCAAATAACCATTAAAAGCTCTTAAAAAATAACTATACTGTTACATCAAAACAGCGATATTTTGAAAGAGAATGCTATGTTTATCCGGCTAACGTTTCTGGAACCAAAAGCAAAAGCAACAGGTCTTAAAGCGACAAATACAAATCCAGACCAGCCTGCACCGCATCCCCGCAGTCTGATCTGATGCTCTTTATATTGGAAGAATTCAATATTTTAATATTAAGGGACTGTTTCAAAGTCGAAGCAACGCAAATCCATTTCACAAGTTCAGCAGGTCAATAATAAATATATCAACATACTTCCCTGTATAAGAAATAGCGTTATCTATGGTGAAATTTCGATTTATTTTATTACGAATTTGTTATTATTTGCAATGCTTTATAACACAATTATAGGTGCAACAATGGTGCTTCGTGAGAAATTTTCAGCGAGACATTTCTGGGATGACTGTAGGAAACATGATGTTACAATTATACAATATATAGGGGAAGTGTGTCGATATCTTGTTGCTCAACCTAAGGTTATTATACCACGCATTTTCATCTTTTGAGATTAAATAATTGGATAAATGGAAGTGTAACAGTAATTGTCAGCTTTCACAGGATGTTTATTTTTCCTTTTCAAATTAATCTCTTGTAGCTCAGTTGCCCAACTATAAATAACTGTTTAAAGGATCATTATAAAATGTTTCATGACACATATTGGAGGGAGTTAAAGGGAAGTTTAATCATATAAGGATTGTTATTACATCATTTCTATGTAGAATCAATTCTATTGTCTCCTTTTGTTACAAAAGCAAGAATGAAAAAGTACTACAGTGAACAAGCAGTGGTGTCTTTATTTTCATACTTATTCTTGCTCACATTTTGAGTGTATAAGTCATCAAATGTAGCACCAAAAAGATATTATTCCATTAATATATAATTATATGCAGATATTCATTGAACGGTTGATAAATACACAGGAGCTATTTTTTTAACTACATGTTTGTAAATTATCATATTCAATGATTTGAAAATTGACCTTCATTGTTAGTGAAAAGCCTTAAAAAGGCAAATATTGACAAGTAAATGATACCAAAAGGTACATAAATATTTTGCTTGCAGTCGCCAAAGGATGGAATACACAAAATCAAGTATGCGTTTGGAAATGGGTTACGGCAGGATATCTGGGCGGAGTTTAAAAACCGGTTCAATATACCAAGGGTAATTGAGTTCTATGGTGCTACAGAGTGTCCAATAGGGCTGTCCAACATTACAAACAAGTTCGGAGCATGTGGGAGATCATCACCATATTTGGTAATACTCCTATTTTAGTTTGTTTGTCTGGTTTTAAAACTGATTTCAACACATGTTTTAGATAGACCTTTTCATCCTGGCATCGGCGTCTGCGTCCAGATTTCAGATTAAAGTTTTTGTGCAGTGATATATATTTTACTATAACGTTTTCGTTTCTTTAGGTATCAACTTCAAACGTCAAATATATTTTCCACATCATCATATATGACAAGGGTTTTAACTCTAGTGCAAATATTTATAGACTTATCTCCCCATGAACTTAGATTTTTCCATTAAATGTTATTTTATACTATAATTTCTTTATTTATTAAGGATTTTACTTCAGACTTCAAATATAAGTTCCTTATCACCACCCGCATAATGTGTGACAAGATCCATAACACTCCAGCACATATTTTGTCAGAATTATCCCCCTTGAACTAATCATTGCATGACTATTTCCTGAATTATTTCCTCCTTGAACTTGGAATTATCTTATAAAAATATTTTTGTTTTCTCAAACTTCTTTATTTGTCATAGGATTTACTTTAAAATTAAATCTAAGTTTCCTATCAGCTTCTATGTAATACCTACATGTATATGACACGGTTCATAACTGTAATTAATATTTTTCGAATTATCTACTTGATTTATTTCTGTAACTTCAGGGATTTAATTCAGACTTCACCTTTGTCATATGTGATAAGATTCATAACGCTAGCTCTTGTTTTTCTGAATTATCAATTTAATTTTTGAACTTGAATTTATTTGAATTTTAATTGTTATTTGTTTTTCAAGTATTATCTTTGTCATTACGCACGTACATGACAAGGTTCATAACTACAGCATCTTTATTTTAAGAGTTTTCTCTTTGAACTTATAATTTTTATATTTTTATAAAATTTATATACTTCTTCCTTTATTTAATTCTTCTACTGAAGGCATTGACTTCAAAATTCAATTTGTTGTCATTTCCATTAGAGCATAGTACATGGTCACATGCATTTTATGTGGTACAAAAATATTGAACATTTGAGTACTTTCTTGATACTGAGACAGAAATATATTTATATAATAATTGCTTTTTCTTCATATTTTCTTGGCATTATTTTTTTTACTGCATCCAGTATTTGATTAGTCTCCTCTGACAGCTCTTGTTTGTCAGGTACAAGTATTCTGGCCACCTTGCTTGCTTTCCTGTGTAATATCTCCGCAAGTGACCGCTAGATTTAAGTAACCATTAGATTTAATGTCTTAGATTAATTTTAACAGCCAAAATTTGCCTAGCACAAGGATCAAATCAGGGATTCCAGGATAACAAATTTTCAACAAATGCTCCCCCTATTGAGTTAAACAGGCACACTTCTTTTTATGCCAGGTTCCGAGATAAACATTTTTGTTGGCCACATTTGAAAAAAATGAATAAAATACATTGTTGACTGACATTGTTTGCAATCATGTTAAAATATATATACAAATGTCACATTGCGTTTGTATGCTAATAGAACTGTTATACCAGTTACAAATATAGATTAAAAAGCAGGACCCTATTTAAATCTTATATCATCTCATGAGATAAGTCATAGTTATAGTATATGAACCGAGTTAGTTACGAGGATACATCACTGGCTGGGGCGACATCAAGGGATGTTTCTGCTAAAAAATGGCGAGGCCGTTAGTCCGAGACAATTTTTTGCAGAAACATCTCGAGATACTATAACTTTTTTATCAAAGTGGCATAATGTTTTCTTTTTTGTAATAGAACTAAATAAATAATGAAATAAATAAATAAATCTTTAGCTAGATTACAGTTATTTATAATAAGGCAGTTTTTTCAAGTTGTTTTCGCTGCAGCAAAAAAGTTATATAAAAGACATTTAATGTTAGAGGCGGATTGTAAATTGTTACAAAATTAATTCAAGATTAAAGGGCCTTTTTCATGTTTATATTTTTCATTGTATTTATTTATTTTATTGATTCCATTTTTTTTGCTACTGGGAATATTCGTTTCCACTGCCCCATTGGAGACTCTGTGAAAAAACTGCATTGATATATACAAGGTGCGAAAAAAAACTCAACCGCTATATAGCAGTCGAGTTTTTTTCATATATGAATCAATGAAAAAACTGAACTGTTACATATCAATACATTTTCAAATGCTCATTGAAGTGTATTGAGTATAATGGGTTAGTAAGAACAATGGAAAAATTCCAAACCATGCGATAATATGTGACAACGCAGTATTAAACTTTGGGATATAATATCATTTATTATAATAATGCAGATACATTTCTCGAAATCTGATTAATGCCGTATTATTATACCATTTAGAACCACAGCACACACAAATAACACTGTATTTCTACAGCGTAGACGGTTAAGTGCATTTTTATTGCGTTTTGCAAAGTAAAAACTGCCATGGTGGCCCCTATACTTTAACTACTTTTTATTGCGCAACGTTAGCTTAGCTGTTGATACGCTCTTTCCTATACTTCTTTGAAAAGAGTCTAAAAAGAGTCTAAACTTGCTGGGTTTTCTCATGAACTTGTCATCAATAACAATTTGCATTATAATAAAATTGTAATACAAGTACTGACGGGATATTAGCGAGAATATTACAGGCTTACATTAATATACCGCCCTATTTTTATTCATCTCATTCAAGTTATATTATCCTGTATACCCCCTCAGCAGGTTATACACCTACAAAAATAATATAAAATAGAAACAATTCTGCATTATGTTACAGAGACAGTTTACACCATGTGCATTTGTCAAGTTTGATTTGGAAGCACAAGCTCCTTTACGTAACAAACATGGATTTTGTGTACCCATCGGAACTGGTATGTAGAAATTAACCCTTACAATAATAAATCTTTGAAAATAACAAATTGAAAGGTTAAACACAAATTAAATACATGAACTAATAAAACATTCAACGAACATAATTTTACATAATTTATAGACTATTTAAGCAATATACAAAAAGAACATGTTTTATTTATTAATAATTTTAATATCACATGTATTCCATTTGACAAAAAGTATATTATTCACTTTTAGATGAGATAGGCCTAATGATTGTTCCATTAATAGAAGGGAAGACGTCATTCCAGGGATACCGTGGGAAGAAAGCAGATTCAGAGAAAAAACTTGTATATGATGTGTTTACAAAAGGAGATAAATATTTTAATACTGGAGACCTGATGAAAGTTGATAAAGATTACTATGTGTATTTCAGTGATAGAGTCGGTGATACATTTAGGTTTGTTCAAACTTACAAATTCCTTTTGCTTGTTGTCATTATATATATTACCTTGCACATACTTTGTATAGCAGAGTTCTACATCAACAATTTGTTGGATTCTACATATTGTTTATTTTAAGAGATAATGACCTTGCTTTATTTTTGTGTGGCTGGAATGTCATTCAATCATATTGAACAAAACTTATTTCTGCCCAAAATTATGAACAAACAGTTAATTACTCTTACTGAAGAAACGCTTGCTATAGTTTAATGTTATGTTTTTATATATGTAGTAATGAATACATATAATGTCATAAACTAAATATTAAATAATACATCATTAAGAATCTAACAATACATGTTAAGTCATAAACAACTGACTTTGATGATACACACAAATCAAGTACCATTGTATTGCACAACATGTATTAAGTTATGAACTAAGTATTAAATAACTAGTAAATAATATGCTGATTTATTTCCTACAATTTGTTACAGATGGAAAGGAGAGAATGTATCTACAACAGAAGTTAGCAATATTCTGACAGATCTTGACTTTATACATGATGCCAATGTATATGGTGTCCTAGTACCAGGTTTGTCAATTTAACCTGAAACTTTACCTCCCACTTGTTTAATGGATTTGTCATGGTTAATTTTACCGCACCGTTTGTTTAATGAACTTGTCCTGGTTAATTTTACCTCACTATTAATGAACTTGTCCTGGTTAATTTTACACCACTATTTGTGAACTTGTCAACCACCGTTTGTTTAACTGCTAATCATTGATACATTGAAGAAATTTATAATTAATAATACTACAAGTAAGTAGCCCGATCAAATGGAATAAACTTTCAAGCGTATAATGGTTGAGTCGTACATAAGAACAAGGAATAATTAGGTTACAAGTTACTTGTAAAACTGTCGGCATGGTGTGTGTATTTTTGACTTGGCGATAGTTATAAATGAAATTTTTATTCATAAGGCTATGCTTTTGTGTGCAAGAGGTATTTTATTCTCTCAGGAAAATTAGCGATTCTCTCTTGATGCAGTTTTTTACTTTTATTATGTTTGGATCGTATATGTAGTCTTCATCCACCACATTTATATTTTATATAGGTTGTCAGATGTCCTTTATTACAACCAAATATATTTGAAATTCCTGTTGAAAAGCACATTATCAAACATGGTTTTAATATATATATATATATATATTTGTTACAACAGGTACTGATGGACGTGCAGGAATGGCAGCCTTACATTTGAATGATCAGAGCCTGGCAACATTGACCCCTAGCATGATTACCTCCCTTTCTAAACATGTGAAAGAAGTTCTGCCCACATATGCTAGACCTAAATTCATACGAGTACAGAAGGAACTCATAATGACCTCCACCTTCAAACAACAAAAAGTTTCTCTTGTTAGGGAAGGTTATGATGTTACAAATGTTACGGACCCTATTTTCTACCTCAACCCAGCAACACAAAGTTACCTCCCCTTAGATTATGTTGTTTTCACACAGATTATGGCTGGAAAAGTGCCACTATAGTTGCCTATTAACATTAAATACTTATCTTCTTAAATTACAATGTTTGTAGTATGTTTACACAGACAATAAAAAATCCGAATATATCTTCTTTGATATTTCCCTATAGAAACTGGTTAAGTAGAGATAGCTTATACAGTAGTTTTGTAGAGGCAGTTAGACATTTTCGATCAGAATTGTTATTGTAACATTTCACAGCTGATATTTAAATATATTTTAAAATTCTAATTGCACACGAGAAAACTCAAATGTAAGACTCATGATATTTTAACTAATAAGAGTGACCCCACGCATCATTTTGGCCCAAGTGGGTGGCGTGATATGTGTCAATTTTGTAAATTTTATATTGAAAGTAAATTATGTGAGTACATATTTTCTGGTTATGATAATGTAAGTTTTAAAAAAATCGATGTCCTCAACAAACTATAACAATCTAACATTGAGTGTATGCAGCACAATTCACTTACGTTCCAAGTTAAATGGCAAAGATTCTATATAACCGCATTAGCACATCAAATCTGTTTTAAAACTATTGATAAGAATAACTAACCGATAATCAACTAATTTTGTTTTCTTATTTATGTTGCTTGAAGGTGAACTTTGACACATTATAAATAAATAGTCATTGATGTAAAGGGCAACAAAAATGTCTTTTCCCGTGACGACATAGACGAAAAGAATACACTTCGTCAGTAACAACAACTGTCAAAATAATTATATTGTGAAACATTGTAACTGATGGCAAATAATAAAAATATTTATGAAAATAAGGCCCAGTATAATTACTTTGAGAGACGACACGGAGAAGAACCATGCGATAAAAATTGGACAGTTGCAAAAGATCTGGCGACGTGACAACATTTTCCAATACATAAATATCATAAAAATATTCCGTAAACGGCGGTCTACGTTGTTGATGTTTGTAGTTATATTCCAAACAGCGAATGAACCAACCCTCTGATAATGATTAAATAACATATTAATGTCATTGCATAGTTAGATAAATAGAAACAGTAGATAAATAGTTTGATTTCTTGAATGTAAAACATGATAATTGTTGTGCCTGAATTAAAGCAGGGAAGGACACACACATATCTTCTTCGACCAGTAAACACTGGAAATTCGCAATATGACTAATACAGTGTCGGGGCGACATTTCCCTAAGGAAAAAGTCAATCGTATCAAGTTATTCTCGTATTTATTGATAAAATTTTCATTCACTGGTAATTGTATTTTAACTGGGTTTTAACAAATATTATCCGTATCATAAAATGTACGCTGTAAAAATTTACCGTAAAATTTTACGGGAAAAGTCCTGGCAGCTGGTTTTCAGGACTTCCCCGTATAAGCAAGTAAATTGTTTATTAAAGTGACATGTGTTATAAACAATACAATATACAATAATGAAAACAGCTATCAGAACACCCGGCCCAATGGGCCTATATGTCACCTATCACATTTGTACAATTATAAGTATACACGTCTTGAAGTGAGAAATATATAATAATTTTAACAGGTTGATAATTAAAGAGAGCTTTAGTAAGTAATGATGAAACATAATCTCTGAATCAAGACATTCTAATACATGCATACATTTTAAGGATTGTATGAACTACTTATTATAAATATAAGTCCTTCTTTTATGATAAGCTTGCACTAGATATTTAGCAACATTGCGTGGATATAAGTTAAGCAATGTCCTTAATTTATCAGTGGCATTTAACGCGGTAAACTGACTATCAAACCATTGGTTGCAAAATATAGAAAGTCTAATTTCATCATATAGTTTACATTCAAGTAGGAAATGCCTTTCATCCTCAACAGTGTTCATATCACACAATGTACATATTCTACGCTCTGGTTCCTCGCCAACATATCGTCCTGTCTCAATCCTTAATGGAAGTATCCATATGCGGAATTGCGCGAGCAGTGAACGTTCATTTCTATTAAGATTTAATTGCACATATTTTTCTTGTGTAAAGGTTGTTTTAAATGTAACATATGTTCGTAATTTTCTAACAGTAAAAATTTGTTGTGCCCATAGATTAGAATAGTATTCTTCTATTTTTGATTTACATATGTCCAGGTTAATAGGCGTTTTTTCGTCAAAGTGTTCACTCAATTCTAGTTTGTTTAACAGTTCTTTAAAATCACTACACCAATTATTTGTACAGTTTTCATAATCCATGGAAAAAACTTGTTTAGTTAATCTACTATCATTCAGTGATAAAATTCTATTCCAATAACGGATTATACAGATCCATCGCCTGTTTTCACAAGGTAACCATGCGGTGTCTCCAGTTATTGCAAGAATTGGGGCGAATCTATGTACTCCAAGAAAGTAACGTATTGCTCTATTCTGAACACTATCGATCACATGACTGTGTTTAAATCCCCAGACTGCAGCCGAATAATCTAGTATGGGAACAACGCATGCATTATACATTTTTTCAAACGTTTTAAATCCAAAGTCTTTAATTCCGTGTATTTTTGATATTATTTTTCCCAGTGCACGGCCACCACTTTTAGCCAACGTCTGTGAACTAACGGAAAAATCCTTATAACAATAAAATGTTATGCCTAGGTATTTATAAGTTTGAACTTTTTCTAAAACACTATTTCCGATAGTAAAATCATAGTTTGTTTCAAAAGTTCTTGATTTTCGGAAGTGAACACACTTTGATTTGTCAGTATTGATTCAGACTCTCCATTTTCTGCACCACTGAGTTACCACGTTTAATAGGAGTTGTAAGTCATTTTCAGATCTTGCAAAAAGGGCGATATCGTCCGCATATAATAAAGCTGACAACTTTTTATCACCGACATCAAATCCAATGTCAAGGTTGTTTATCTGTGTCACTGTCGGGGACAAGTTATCTCCCTGTTTCACGCCCGTGAGACAGTTGAGCCAGTCTGTGTATTTTTCATTTATACGAACACAAGAGATTGAATAACTATATATGCTTTTGATAGAGGTATACACTTTTCCGTCAACTCCGTTCAGAAGTAACTTATATAACATTATATCACGATTTATAAAGTCGAAGCATTTGCGTAAATCTATAAAAGCAGTAAAACATTGTCGTTATTACGAATTATGCTATTTAATACAAATATATGATCTTCACACGATCGGCTACTGCGGAACCCATTCTGTTCGTCCGCTAAGATATTGTTTTTGTTCGATAAAGTTAGATAGTCCTTTTGTTAAGAAGTGAACTGTATAATTTGCTAATACATGAAAGCAGACTTATACCCCTATAGTTCATAGGGGACCCTTGTGTCTGTTGTTGGATCTTTTAGTATAGGGCAGATAATTGCCTTCCTCCAAATACTTGGAAAAATTCCGGTATCGAAAATTAGTTGAAATAAGTGTTTAAAGCGTTTCAATAATTAGCGGAAATTTAAGTACACAGTAAGGTATTTCATCGTACCCACTCGCAGATCGTAATTTAGCCTGCATGACGATCGTATAAAGTTCTTCTGTACTTATATCTCTGTTAAGGAGCTCGTTTGGTTCATAAAGGGGGTCACTGATAGAATTTTCAATGATTGTTTTGTGTATTTTAGTCTGGTAGAAATGTTCATTATCAAATGAGTTATCATCAGTGCCATTATATAAATTTTCGAAGTCCTTTCTCCATTTTTCGTGTACAATGCTTTCATCGTTCGAAATATTTCCGTCATTTTCGATAACTTCCATTGGAATATTTGTATTCTTTCTTGGACCTAATTGTTTTATCTTGTCCCAGAATTCGTTTGGGTTTTTTGTAGACATTTCTTCAATATCGTCTGCAAACGATCTTCTGTAAGCACGTTCACATTGACTAAGTCTTTTGTCAAACAAATTACGTGCATTTATATAGTCATTATGAAGAAAACGTTTTTCTCTCCTGCCGGTCGTGCATTTAAGGAACGCATTTTCTTTAATGCTCATTGAGTCCCATAGTTTTGACAATTCGTCCGTCCAATATGGCTTTTGGAATTTATTTATATACGTATATTTACGGGCTATCCGTAACATGTTTTGGCGTAAAAATACTGGTCAAGCAGTAAAATTACAGGCCTTAAACATTACGGAGGCCCAGCAAATATACGGATCAATGTTGGAGTCCAGCTGCCAGGTGGGTGGGGTAGTAATTTTCAGATATTAAGCATAATTTTATAAAAGCTTTAGATCGAGTAATTATATGACATTGTGAAAATCAATTAAATATAACTTTTTGTTCTTTGAAAATCGAAACTAAAAATTCGGTAACGAGCAAATTCTTGTACTAATTAGGATTTTTTGTAAGACATGTTTTACCTCTTGTCACACTTAGTAAAATGGCTACCGTGGAACGCTATCCCGCAATGCAACGCAAACGAGGGTCCAATACCGTATAATCGTGTACGGCTAAACCCGTTACGGAATACCAGTAAACGACTATAAATTTAACGGTAAATTTTTACAGTGATACGTTACCAAATTAACGTCGCTTTGATTTGAGAACAAACTTAAATCATTTCATTAAAATATTACAAAATGTAAACAGAACACTCATCGATACATTGAGTTTATTATATAGGCTTCACAGTTGAAATGATTTAAATAGCTTTTTGTTGCGTTAGATATTGACGACATTTTTAACTAATCTAAAATAAAAACTGAATTGTTTACTAAATATATACTCTTATAGGAAACACACATTTCTGTTGGTGTCTTTTTATTCTTCATCGTCAAATCAAATGGTATTCCGAGGTACAGTCCAAGCTTAAAACAATCTTGAAACACGGCAAAAAGTCACACATTATTGCCATTGTATCTTGTAATGGATATTTTTTAGTGCTATCAGTGTCTTAAGTTGTTGATAGCAGAACAGAACAGAACAGAACAGATACTTTATTTTTTTGACTTGTACAGTCATACATTGTCATACATATATAAACAATTTTACAATACATACTTTGTCTAACATTAATCACAAGATCGGATCTAAACATGTCTCTTTCATATCAATATAGAGGATGAATTATTAATATATTAAGTTGTATCTACTATATCTAAATTATTTCTATGAGACATCGCATCTCGTACATACAAGGA